TGTGTCTAATGACCCATATAAATATGCGGTCACGACATCCATTAACTGCATATCTAAATTCATAGTTACTGCCAGAGATATCAAATAGCGGAACGTTATTCCATCCATTACGGGAGAATACGTTTGATCAAAATCAATTCCGGGTCTCTGCGAAAACCCTTGAGCAACTAATCTCGCTTTGTATCTCACCACATCATTATTTTCATTTCTCTTTCGCACGAACACCCATTTATATCCTACTGGGATAACATTTTGAGGTGTACGCGCAATAGAGCCAAAAACTTTTCGTTTATTTAGCGAGTCTAGTTCAGCCTCAATTGCTTCTTTCCATCTTACCCAATCGGAGCGCTTCCGGCACTCTAAAATTGATTTTGGTTCTGGATCCAGATTATCGGAGATGGTAAAAGCAACTATAGAGGCAAATATGTCGTCAACGACTATGTTACTTCTATTATAAGTTTCTCCTGTATCAACAAAATTCGTTGCTACTTCAATATTTACATCAACCAGATCTTCATCATTTCCCAGTATATTTTGATCTGGATGTTCCGCAATCCTAGTATCATTTAAACTAGGATTTTTGCCTTCTGGACGATTCTCTTCTGGAGATTTCAGGAGTGATTCAATATTCTTATTAGATTTCGTTTTCCGCGGATTACTGTCTTTTATACTAACTGGTCTACCACGCTTCTGGCGTGGAGCATCTGCAGGATTATTAGATTTTATGGGGACTTCCACACGTTGTGGAGCATTTATTGAAGGTACATGAGATTTGGTCACTCCTTTATGATCAGTAAATGCATCTGGCAGATTATTTGCTAAATATTGCAAATTAATTATATTCTGAACTTCAAGTTCAGTTTGATTAGTGCGTGGATCTAAATATTGTAGATTTTCTATATTTCAAGAAATTTCTCGGCATTTATTTAAGTTTGGGCTTTTATCTCCCCCTAATGTCGGAAAAGTCTCTTCATCGAATATGCAGTCAGCGTACCTAGCTGTAAATTGATCCCCAGTCATGGGCTCTAGGTATTTGAGAATAGACGGAGATTCATAGCCAATATATATACCTAGCTTTCTATGAGGGCCCATAGAGGTACGCTGTGGTGGTGAGATGGGAACATAGACTGCACAACCAAATACTCGCAGATGGGAAATGTTAGGTTCTTTACCACGCACTAGTTGTATAGGGGAGTAATCATGATATGCAGTAGGTCGGATTGAATTAGGGCAATAGCATGTAAAATTGCATGTCCCCAACATGAAATTGGTAAGTTGGAATTTTGTAACAATGGTCTAGCAATTAATTTGATGCGCTTAATGAGTGATTTGGCTAGACCATTTTGTGTGTGGACATAAGGTACCGGATGCTCCACTTTGATGCCCAATGACATACAGTAATCATCAAAAGCTTTCGAAGTAAATTCACCGGCATTATCCATTCTGATAGTTTTAATTTGATAATCAGGAAATTGAGCTCTTAATTCAATAATTTTAGCAAGGAGCTTTGGAAAAGCCTGATTTCTAGTGGACAATAAACACACATATGTCCATCGAGTGGAAGCATCTATCAATACCATAAAATATCGAAAAGGTCCCGAAGTGGGATCAATAGGGCCACATATATCACCTTGAATCCTATGAAGGAACGTAGGAGATTCAATTCCAACTTTAGTACGTGAAGGTCTCAATATTAACTTTCCCTTTGCACAAGCATCACCAATAAATTCATTAAAAGAAGGGAGATTGTTGCTTGATATGCTATGCCCAATAGAGTTAGAAATAATCCGGCGCATCATACTAAGCCCAGGATGACCCAATCGCTCATGCCATAATTTAAATGAATTTGGGTCTTTGAATTTTAAGCTCAATGCAACATGATTAACCACAGGTCGAATGTAAGTATGGTACAGGCCTGAGGAGAAAGAGGGAAGTTCTTCTACAATTTTCTTTTGACTTCCTTGTGAATGAGTCATCAGAAGATACTCTATATTGTTTTCAGTCTTAGTTTCAATATGAAAACCAGTGTTCTAAAAGTCGCTAGGCGCCCGTTAGGCGCTCGACCAGCGCCTGGCGCCTAGAGCGCCTAGGAGGGGTCTAGGCGACGCCTAGTCGGGGTCTAGAAATCAATACTAAATACCTTATTTTTTATTTATTTTAACTACCTACAAAATAAAATTATCTCAACTTATAATAAATCGACACACCTAAGTCCAAATAATAAAATTAATATATTTTAAAGAAAACATGAGAACAAATTAATGTAATTAATATTTAAAAAAAAAATTTAAAAAAAATTAACTGAAAAATTGCCGCCGAGCCCGCCTAAGAGTGCCTAGGTCCGCCTATGCCCGCCTAGGCGTCGCATAACCGCCTGACCGCCGAGCCCGCCAAGGCCGCCTAGGCGTCGCCTAGCCGCCTGACCTATTTTTTCTGCCGATTTGTGCAAATCAGAGGCGTCCTGGCACCGCCTAGCGCCTAGGCGGCCGCCTAGACCGATTTTTAGAACAGTGGGCTCCATAACATGTGCCACATGTGGCACCATAAAATGTGTGATTTTTTGTGTGCGTATTTTTTATTTTGTTTTTTTTTTTATTTTTATTTTTTTCTAATTGTGTGTGTGTGTGTGTTGAGTGGGTTTGTAAGTGTAGTCTGTGTAGATGGTTGTATACTATGGATGATTGTGTAGTCCTTTCACATCAGATTCAAGTGTGTGCCTAATTGATTATTTCTGATTATTATCTAAACTATTACAACACCCGTATATTATACGGGTATTTGCTAATTTTTTTCTTAAAATATAAAATTAATGAGAAAAAGTAGTTGAAATTTTAGATACCTTATACCAAAATATATATTATTATATATTTAGTATGACATTTTTTTGTGCGACTTACCTGTGTGATATTATAATAATTTTTTAACTTACAACATATAACTACAATAAAAATAAATATATCAATTGATAAATAATTTTATTTTTTTAGTGAATTTTAATAAATATTATTATTCTTTATTATTATAAAGATAAATATAATTTATTTATTTCATATATACAATATGGATGTCAAATCGAAGATAATCAAAAGATGATTAATTTGATATACAATATATGTAAAACTGATAATAAATACAAAAGTTATCAACTTTTAAAATACACTAGTACAACACCTGTGTATTACACGGGTGCTTGTTAAAAAATTATTCTTAAATTTTAAAATTAATGAGAAAACTTATTAAATTTAGTTTACTTTTTTACAAAAAAAAATATATCCCCCTATATATTAATCCAGAACGCGCTGAGCCTACGTGGCTGTTTCTGGTGTGTCGGAATCCTATGTGGCAATATTACATGCTTCGTTATTAGGCTTGGGTAAATTTTAATAATTAGGTTCGGATTACCATATATATTTTAGAATGATATGTGTTACTTATGACTTACATGTGTTATATTATACTAGTTTTTATAACTTATATCATATAACTACTTGAAATATAAATATATTAGTTGATAAAATAATTTTATTTTTTCTAATTAATATTGAAAATAATTTTATTATTGTTATAAAGATTAATATAAATTATTTTTTTATACATACAATATGGATGTTAAATCGAAGATCATCAAAAGAAGATTAATTTGATATATTACATATATAAAACTGATAAAAAATACAAAAGTTATTAACTTTTAAAATATATATACAATTTAATAGTTATAATAATGAATGATATTAAAATGCAATTAATAGATGTAACATGACCATAAATAATCAATATATTTATGGTAATCCGAACCTAATTATTTTTGATTTGGAATTAAATTAAAATGTACCCAAGCCTAATAACAAAGCATGTAATT